TTCATCAATGTGTTTAGTCCAATCCAAGCCACTCGTCAAAAGAAGACCAAGATGTCGATGAGAACTCACGATTTCTAATCTATGGCCACCGATATACAATGATGATAAGACAGGTAGTGTACGGTGTGACGGAAAGAAAAACATTTGAACACATTTGTTGAGATTGATTGGCAAAAGCCAATCATTAGACCACTGTTGGATCGAATTTAAATCCTCATTCATTTGGTTAATAGCTTTAGGCATATTTGTAGCTGTTTCATATAGTGAGACGTCATCAGCAAAAAGCTTACATGAACATTTGAGACCAAATGTTAAGTCGTCAATATATGATAAAAAAAGGAGTGGTCCAAGCACCGATCCTTGAGGAATCCCACAAGTGACGTCATTTACATCAGACTCAAAACCCTCAACTATTGTTTTAATCTGGCGGTCACAGAGATAGCTTTTAAACCAATTGATGAGCGTCATTGGCATTCCTTTATTGCGAAGTTTTAAGAGTAAACCTTCGTGATTTACCCTGTCGAAGGCTTTGGAAAAATCGATAAAACAGGCAACAGTCGACTCACCATTTGTGAATCCCTTCGCTACATGATGAACAATATCTATTAATTGACCTATTGTTGAGTGTAGTGGTAGGAAACCAGATTGATTTTCAGAAATTAGCTTTTGCGCAACGAGAAATTTAAAAATTCGGTTAAAGACAAGCCGCTCAAAGACTTTTGATACTGAGGAAAGTAGAGTTATTGGACGATAATTATTGACGGAATGGATATCCTCAGATTTGTGTAACGCATGAATAAATCCTACTTTCCACATAGATGGAAATATCTCTAATTTTAATGACCTGTTAAACAAGAATGCAAGAGATGGCGCTATGACGGGTGAAGCCTCTCGCAGCATTCGACCCGTAATTCCTGGTGCAACTGCTTTAGTAGAGTTTATTCTAATTAAGACTTCGTATACCTCAATATCAGATAGGGTGAACGATGACATGACGATCTTTGGATCATCTAGTTTAGGGAAAGTATGGTTTATAGGTTTATTTGCTGTACAGATTTTAGAGAAATGTCTATTAAGGACATTAGCCTTTTCTCGAGGATGATTTAGGATATCATCGTTCACAGGATCAACAAGAAACGGGAAAGAGCCATGTCTATGTCTTCCGAGTGCATTCTTGACCACAGACCACCAGTTCTTAGACGAATTATTTACACTGTTATGCAATTGTGTATAGTACTTATCTTTTGCTTTCGTACATTGGTCCTCATAGTTCTTAGAAATAGTTTTATAAAGCTGATCATCTTTGATCGACCGTTGACGCAGAAATCTCTTTCTTTTCTACCTTATTGCCAAAAGTGGAAGCAGAGATTCGATTAATTCCAAATTTGTTATTCTCAAATCTCAACAACTAGTATTAGGCGATAGATTTTATTCTTTTTGCTTCTGTTTTAATCTGTACTACCAGTAACACTAAAGAGGTCATTTAAGATGGAAAGTATATTATAAGATTCATTCACGGAAACTATCAAAGTCATACACATAAAAATGCTCCACACAATTTCAGTCAACTTTTGAAGGTGGTAAAAAGGTTGTTTTATTCCAGTCGTATACGTCTTCATTTTTGCGCACTTTCATTATATTTGTCAAGTGGACAGAATGGAAATACAGTTCAAGTAAATATTAATTAATTTCAACATAGTCTGTAACGAGAAATATATCCCTAGATAGTTCTACAAGTTAACGGATACCCGCCAAGGGGAAGATATTCGAATTCACATTGAAAATCATCTGAAGTTCGTAACATAATATCTTGTTTCTGAACCGAATATATGTGGTCATGTTTCGAGAGCAGTAGAGCAGTACCAGCGAACATTTAACTTATTATATATCACAACTTTTTTATTCTAAGAGACTGCACACTTTAGAAAATACAAAAACACTGTCAATATTTCACCCAAGGATAGAAACAGCTGATCTTTGAGCTTGAAAAATCGGTTAAACTCGAAAATCGTAAAAAATCATTAAAAATCGTTAAAACGTTAAAATTGCTAAAAATCGTTTCAAATCTCAATAAACCATTAAAAATCGCTAAATATTGTTAAAAGTTCTTAAAAATCTCCAAAAATGGCTCAAGACTTTATCTTTTTTTTCTTTACTTTACTATGTCTAATTACTATTTTGGACAAATAAAGAAGGTTCTACACTATTAACGCAGTCTTTTGACTTGATTTTTCAAACAAATCACACGAAATCGGAAAAAATCGCTGAAAATCAATGAAAATCCGTGGAAATTGACGGAAATCGGAAAAATCCCCAAATCAGCTGTTTCTCCCTTGATTTCACCGCACAAGTTAAATAAAATTAAAAGTGTTCGTTTTATATAAAAAATCTTATAACCATCAGCACTTGTGCAGCACCGTCATGCCAGTGGTTTTTGAACTGGTAATGTATGCTTAAATACATGTTTGCCCAAACTGCATTTTGTGGGGTACAACAATCCGTTAAATCGTGGTGAATTAGCAGAGTCGATCCTAGTTTTTTGGTACATGATTTTCGATACATTTAGAAACGTATTTTAACCATAAATCCAATGCTGAGTCAACGCCATTTGAAAGATAAAACGTAGGTTCTATTTCCGACAGAGTGCGACGAAGAGCTTGCCGAACACAGTTTTCAAAATCCGAGACTAACTTTGAAGGTGTTAATACGGAAGGGATAGCTGAATGGAACTTGTTGACAAGCACAAAATGGGGGAATTTTCCGAGTTCGGATTTCACTTTGGTGTTTTGGGTAGAAAATGTTGTCGATTTTTGTGTTGTGATGCGCGGCAGAGACAGAGAAAGCCTTAACAACAGAAAAAGTATCGAGAACCTCGCAGTTTTGGCAGGGAACTTGATGTGTTAACATTAAAATCGCCTGCAAGTATAAGCGGCAAGCCACTAGAGGTCTTTCTTAATGAAAAATCATGCAATCCATCGTAATAATCGTTTTTTGCTTTTGGCCGACGATATATGTTGCATAATAAAAATTCCTCATTAGAAGCTGTTATTTTTAACAAAATGGCACTAGCTCTGTCACACATGTCAATTAATTCATGATCTACATCTCGATGAATGAAAATAGCCTCTCCATATTTTTTGCACGAGCAGTCGTGTCGATAAACTGAGTAAACAGGAAGAGCAATCTCTCAATCAGTGATTCAGGAGAAAAAAAACGTCTCCTGGAGATACACTGCTGAGGGACGCACACCCCAAATCGTAGCCTTGAGAGAATCAAGATTTTTTATCAAATTCTGTATATTATGAGACACAAAAGCAAACATTTTTTCTTGTGAATGCACTGGAGTAGGAGATGGAGAAAAGGAAGGCACTAAGAGGCCGAGCTTAGACTGTATATCATTCTATAGAAAATTTCATGGGCTACAAAAGAACATATTATTTTAGAAGTGTGCCTTTGGAAGTACACTAGATACAAAAGTTTTAAAATAAAAATAACAACTTTTTTCGATCCCTGGAGCGGTACCTTAGGGACAAAAGTTGTGAAGTTAGATTTTAAAGTTTTCGCTGAACAGAAAATCTTAGAAGGGTGTCCTTATAAATGTGCATGAGTCACTTGCCTACGTTCTAATTCAAAGTTACACCGTTGCACAAGCATGGCTAGCATAAATTTGGCGTCAAGTAGAGCAAAATTCTGACCAATATAATTACGTGGTCCAGCTGCAAATGGCAAATAACAAAATGGATGAGCTGATTTTGGTTTAAGACCTGTTACAGGATCTCGAATCCAACGAGTATAATCAAATTCAAGTGGTCGAGGCCAAAAGTCTTCTCGTCGATGAAGGATATAAATATTAAATATAACTGTTGCTCCGACAGAAACGTATTTGACGATGGCCTTCACTACCTATATAATGTTCACGAATGCACATATAATGTTCAGAGAAAAGCTGCTGGTGGATATAGACGAAGTGTTTCTTGTAGAACAGCCTCGCATACGACCAGCTCACTCATATGCTGTAATTTTGCGCATGTGATCGTCCAAAAACATCAGCCAGCATATCTGGTTCAATCACAGCTAAATATGTTAATGGACCAAAACCTATTAGATAACAATAACCATGTTTTCGAACGAGTTCCATTCGATAATTCATTGCAACATCTTTTTCAGATGCACGACGTATATCAGGTAATTGACCAAATAGTGGTACGAATGGTTCACGTGGTACATCTTGACCACGAAATATATCATAGAGACGTTTTTGTGGACGGATAAATTTCCAATAAATAACGAAGAAGATGGAAGAAAATAGTCCGAGAATAGTATATAAAAGTATGAGTAGAACCATGTCAATATGACTAGAACTCAAAAGAAAGATCTTATCTTAGTCATATGATGATGATGAATCAAAAATTGTTTTTGCTCTCGTTTTCTGCTAATAATAAGCAATAGAGCTCTACCGTTTAGTGTATCTTTATCTGTTTCTTGATGTCGCATGTAGATTATGCTTTCTTTTCTGTATGTATCCTTATGTCTGACATACAGATATCTGCATGCGACATCAAGAAAAAGATAAAGATACGTTAAACGGTAGAGCTCTAGTATGCAATCCTCTATTTTTGTTCTGTTCTTTTACCAAGGAATGTGTTTAAAGGTAAAAGAACAGAACAAAAATAAAGCTTGTCATTTGTCCACTGGTCGATGTTCTTGTGGGTATTCTTGCAAGATTCTTGTCTCTTGTCGTTTCAGACAAGAATCCTCAATTTTTTCTTGATAGATCAGACAAGATTCTTGTTTTAATTTTTTACTGATTTTTCATCTTTTTCCGTTAAAGATTCTTGTCTGAAGTGGCAAGATTCGTTGACAACAAAATCATCAATTTGTTTTGTCGATTCCTGTGCTATATATAAGTTACATAATATAGCTCAATACAAATGTTATAATGTTATAGCTCAAATAAATTATATATGCATTCTATTTGTTTGCAAGATATTTTTAAGAATTACAATACAAGATTCTTGAAGGAAAAAACCAGACAAGAATCTTGCTGGACGCTTTCTTGTGAGTTCAGACAAAAATCCGTCTCGCGATTCTTGTATGAGCTCACAAGAAAGCGATTTCCTGCAAGGTTCCTGTGATAAAAATACATGTAAAATATTTTAAAAGATACTTGTCTGAAATGCCAAGAAACAAGAATCTTGCAAGAATACCCACAAGAACGTCGACCAGTGTCGTCATCAGCGCTAAAGTACATTGATGACTTAGTGAGCGGTTCTCCTGCAGTTTAACCCTCACACGCGATTGTTACGTTTAGTACAGCAATCAGTGTGAGGGTGAGGGTGTCGTTAAACTGCAGCTGTACCCAGTGAGCGCATTTTTGTTTGTCATTCTGTATTTGTGTGTTTGTTGAGAATGACGAACAGCACTCGACGAATCTAACAGCGTCCTTCCCACTTTAGATCTGCCCACTTTATACAGAGCAACTTGCCGCGAAAATTCCACTTTACCCTTCCTGTAGAGCATCAAAAATAACCTAAAGGTCCCCTTATATTCGGTACATTATCTGAGAAGAAAAACCTTTCAAAATTGTTAGTGAGAGAGATAGTTCAATTTTGAAATTGTTTCAAAAATTACAATACGTGACTTCCTACATTTTCTTGTTTCTCCAGTTTGTAATGACAGCCGTAAAAAAAGAAACAAGTTGAAAAATATATAAATCATCATCCAGCTGTCAACATCGTGTTCT